CAGCTGTCAGTACTGGTCAGTAGTTTTTAGAGTGTCCCTCGAGGATGCTGAGCCAGGTGGACATGGCCAAGAAAGCCCGAGCAGGAGGGAAGGGAATTTCTTGTCAGGGCCTCACCCTCTCGGTGTGACTTGTCACCGAGGACGTTGGCCTTGGTCTCCTGGAGGACCTCGCTGGCCATATTTCCCCATCCCAGGGTTCTGTCCACGCCCACACTGCACTCCTGGTGTTGAGGTGTGAACTGATAAACACAATCAATAAGAGTGTGAGTCACAGGTTATAGATTAGTAAAGAACATAGATCACAGGTACGAGGTTTTGGTAAGTGAGACAAGACAATCATCTTGCTTTAGCAAGAACTGACCCAGGCCTCAGCCTCCATTTTGCTGCCTTCTCTAAAAAACTGTTACAAGAGCTGTTTCTGAGAAGCTGAAATGAAAGCTGTTTTCTTATTTTGAAAACTTGTCTTTCTGCACTTTGTACCCACACCCTGAGCCCTACTCGGGATGCAGCAGTGGGCATGGGAGCTACACCCTGGGTGTGAGTGCCCTTGTGGGTCTACGTGACTTTGAAGTAGATTCTTGTCCCGCTGACGCCCACCCAGGTTCAGGGGGTGACTGTCTAGCACCTGCTTGAGCCGGGGACTGTGGTCATCTGAAGCGCAGAGCTGTGCATTTGTAGCTTCTGTTTATCGCTCACTGGCTGACTGGAGTCCTGCCCAGAGCCCACGGTCCCATTATTAATATTTTCATGTCTGTGACTGGCTAGCTTCGATGACGACAAGCACGTCACTGAGTTGGGGTTTTGTGCTTTCTCCTTGGATGGACAGGAAGCTGCTGTCCTCCCACAGAGCTGAGTCTCTGCGGTGGGTGGCAGTCCCTGGCCAGGTAATTCGGACTCAGCGGCTTTCTGGAACGGCTCCCCATGGCACTGGGAGGCAGGCCCAGCTGGCTGGGGGGTGAGAGCCGGCCGCCTCCCGAGGGCCGAGGCCCATAGAACCTCTGAAGGGTCAGCCGCGTCTCGCACCCGCTGTGTCTGGCTCTGCTCTTCTTCCGTCGCCTGTTTGTGTCGTGGTGGACTCAGGTGGACTCAGGTGGACTCAGGTGTTCACTTGACACATGGGGCTATGACACAGTGCCGTCCTATTAGTCACTTGGCTGTTCAGAGTGGCCCTGGAAGATTCTTTGGTTGCCTCATGATTCCCTCTGTCAGAACACCATCGTTTTGTCTTACGTTTTAGCATTTTCTCATTTTCTGTCCCACAAGATGCTCCACGACCCAAATGTCCACCAGTGAGACACAGCGTGGCCCACCCACATGAGGGAGCACCACTCCATCTCTGAAAGGAAAGCGGGACGGACACCTCCTACCACGTGGGAGAACCTCAGGTCACCAGGGTGGGCGCCACCAACACGGGGTTGTCCACAGAGACTGTCCTGGGCTGGAGGGAGGCCGGGGTGGCTGCGATGGCACAGGGCTTCTTTTCCGGATGACAGCTGGATGCTGGTGATCTTGAGGGACAGCCCGGAGCCTCACAGCGCAGGTGGAGTGAGCCCATGCCACTGGCTTTGGGTCCTCCGTAGATGTCCTCGTCTGTCCCCTGAGAGGACCTGAGATTCTTCCATGCTCCCTCTGACTGATGCCAGCCCAGGGCCTGGACATTCTGCCGTCCTCAGCATAGGGGTCCTCCGTGGGTGCAGAGCCCCCAAGTCCAGTTGTCCAAGTCCCCAGCACAACCCCTTTCCACACTTGCCTCCCAGTGGAGATGCCTGAGTTCAGCCCGGGCTCCTCCTCAGCCTTCCCTGTGTCCCGAGTGAGGGGGCCGCCTGGCTGAGCACCCAGTGCCTTCGACCAGCTGGACCAGTGCGCCTCTGCCTGGGGCGGGGGGCACATGATGGGCACAGGGGGTGCTAGGAGGTCTCAAGGTGTTGTTGGGGCTCAGCAGGCAGCAGGTGGTGAAGCGGGGGTGCACACAGCCTGGACCCTCCACATCCAGGGGTCGGTGTGCGTCCAGCCCCCAGACCACACTGAGAAACCCCGCCAGAGGCTTTCCTCAGCGCGGCTCCCTCCACAGGGCTGTGAACGGCATTCAGATGGCATCAGGTGCCGTAGGTGATCCAGAGGTGACTCCAAGGTACCGGAGGAGACGCGTAGGTCAAGTGCAAATGCTGAGCCATCCTACGCGAGGGCCTCGAGCATGCAATCATGCCGGACTGACTGCTGCAGAGACCAGCAACGTGTGCTGCTGCCCCTGCCAGCCGAGCAGGAGAGGGCGGGGTGCCTGCCCACACGCCTCCAGCTCCAGCCCCCCCACAGGTGGGAGCAGGCAAAGTGGAGGCTGGGAAGGGCCTCAGGAGGGAGAGAGCAGAGCGGGCCTTGGCCCTGGCTCACTGGGAAGTCTTGGGGCTCCTAAGGGGACGCAGGGTCCTTCCCGACAGTCAGCTTGAGCTGGGCCTGGTAGAGCACTAGATGCTGACCAGTGCAGCACCCCACCCTGGCCCCGTCCCTCGCCTGCCCTGCACACCCCTGGTCCGGGAGGCCTATCCCTGGTGGGCTGCTCTGGGAATGGAGGCCAGTGCCTGGTTGGTGAGGCCAGGGGTTAATTATGGCCCTGAGTGAGCATGGGCTACAGTTAGTGCACACCCAGCTCATAAAGGAGCGAGTCTCTGATGCCTGATTAGATTAATGAAGAGGGTCACAGCCAGGCCGCAGCCTCCCCGGGTCCCCCGCCCCACCAGCCCCCAGATTAGAGGTCTCCCTTTCCTAGGACCACCTGAGCACCTCCCCCTGGGGGCTGAGGAATCTTTGCCCCGAGAAGGCCCTTTGAGATTTGTTGAGTGCAGCATTTCTCATTCCTTACTTTCATGGGTTCCTGACAATATAGACCCCAACCTAAGACCCTTCTTGGGCAAGGAGTAAAACCCGGCGACTTTGCCGGCACCGAGACCGTGGAATCCAGCAGGCCCTGGCTCACCCTGTCTGGGTGGCTTGTCCTCCACTGTCAAGGGTCCATTGGGATGTCCACCTTCTCCAGAAAGTGCAGCCTGCCCCTGCCCTGCTGTCCCCTGGCTGTGATCACTCCTGCTACTGTGGGTCCCCCCCAACACAAGCCACCCCAGGCCCCTTGTCCCTTCACTGGTCAAGAGTCCCAGCCTCCAGCAGGAGGCTCGCTGCCTGGGGCAGGGAAGCCTGGCCCAGCTGCTACTCCCCTATCACTGCCCTCAGCTCTGTCCCTTTGCACTCGGGGCCGGTGGAGTCTGAGCAGGGTGTGTGGGCTGCGGGCGGGGAGCAGATCTGGGTGTGAGGATGGAGGGAAGCTTGTTCTCATCGACCGTCCAAGGCGCACACCGGCCACTGGCACAGCCTCCTGCTCGGGGACAGGTTCGTCCTGCCCTGAGGGCCCGTCTAGAGCCCACCTGGGGGAGGTGCCCAGTGGGACCTGCTCTGGGCCACCCCCACTTCCCTCAAGGGCTAGGCCCAGGGCCTGTGTGCTGCTGGCTGCCGACAGCCTGTCCCACCACACTCTTCCCACTGCCTTCCCGGCCACAGAGCAAGAGAACCTCGGGTCAGGCCGAGGGCTGGGGCTGCATCTGGGGAGGAGCCCAGGCCAGCTCTAGACAAGGCTGGCTATGGGCCTGGGAGACTGGGGCTCATAGCACAGGAGGAATGAGCCCATGCCACTGGCCCCGGGTCAGCCAGAGCCTCCGGGGCCTGCCCCGCCTGTCTGGGCTCACTCTGTCGTGCCCAGCACCAGGGGCTCCAGGCTCAGAGGAGACAAGAGTGGGCTGAGCAGAGCCCAGGCAGTCCACCTGAGTGTGTACAGCCGTGTCTGCCCTCACAGCCCACAGAGGTGTCCCTGTCCCAGGAAAGCTTACGAGAGCCCAGGCCTCACCGTCCCCCACGACAAACAGCAGCTCACACATCATGTGTCCAAACTAGGGAAGTTCTAAGGAAGTCTAACACACAGTCAAATAAAATAGACCATCCCAACCCCCTGGAGTGCCTGGTATGTGGGAGGGGAGTCGCCCCAGCTGACCCTCGTCTTCCCTCCCCAACCCCATCCTCACCGCCCCACCTCCCTCCCTGGACCTGACAAATGCCCCTTCACCTGGGGCCCAGCAGCAGGCAGCCAGCAGCTCGGCCACACTCCAAGGGGGCGGGAAGAGAGAGCCTTGGGCACCCAGGTCCCCAGAGAGGGTGTGGGAAGGGGTCAGGCCCCATATGAGTGCCTCCTGGGCACAGCCAGGACAGGGGAGGTGGTGTTCTAGACAGAAGGAGTCTTCCTTGGGTTCCGTGTTGTGAGCACAAGGTCCTGAAGGGCCTGGAGGTAGGTGCCAGTGGTCCACACAAGAGGGCCAGAGCCACCTGGAGTGCAGGGAGGGGTCGAAAGGGACAGGGAGGCCAGCTATTAGAGGGATGGAGGAGAGACCAGGGACCAGAGCTCCTCCCTCAGCCTCCAAGACCCAGCGAGACCCGTGGACCAATGCAAGCACAGACCCTTTCCTGTGGCCCCTGGGCACCCTGGTCACACCCTGGTCACACCCTGGTCACTCTGCCATTCCCAGTCCAGCCTGGAGGCCAGACTCAGGAATCTGGTGGGGATTGGCTGCTGGGTGCTGCTCGGCTCTGCCCCGGGTTCGGCTCTGTGGGTGATGGACCAGTAGCACCGTCAGCCCCAGGACGAGCCCAGACCTTCACCCTGCCCGGACCTCCACGTCAGAGTCAGCATTAGTCCCCAGTAGGCCCAAACAGGTGTCCATTATCGACCTCAGGGAGGAGAGGTGGCTGGCTCAGAACCTAGGCACAGCCAGAGTGGGCACAGAGGACCTCCTGAGAGCCCTGAGCCCTGGGGGTGGGGCCAAGGGAGCCTGGGGGCATGAGTCAGGCCAACCCTGCCATCCCAAGCTCATCTTCCTGCTAAATTACCAGGTCTGACCCCGGCACCCGCAGCTGTATAAAGGCACCCTTACCCAGGCGGCTCCCAGTCCTGGCGGATGTCCACGATGAGGCCCCTCCTGGTGTTGCTGCTCCTGGCTACTGTGTGTACTGTCCTGGGTAAGGCCGCTGGCTGCAGGCGGGGCGGGGCGGGCTCCCAGGCAGGCGCGGGGGCCTGGGCACTGGCGAGGCTGGCTCTTTGCCGAGGAGACCGAGTGCTCCCTGGAGCCTCAGCCTGGGTTGGGGGTCACAGGGAGCGAGGGGAGCCCCTCAGGCAGTCCCCTGCCTGGAAAAATGTTGTGGCTCTCTACTTAGGGCCTGGCTCTTGTGGAGACAGAACTCTGGCGGAGGGCTGGAGAGGCAGACTGGGTGCCCGGGGCACCGGGGCTGGCCTTCGACTGGGGCAATTCCATCCCCTTCCCCCCAGGACAGGGTTCCTGGGGTGCAGGACTGTTCACTCTAGGAAGGAAGTTCCCAAGCAAAACAGAATGAGTGGGTCACCCCCACCAGCCCACTCTGCCCTGACCCTGATAAGCTGGTTTGGGGACAGAAATGAGGCCAGGGGTGGGAAGGGATGTTCTGCAGCAGGCGATTATCAGCTGAATAATTATCATTTGGAGGATAATTAGCCCCATCAGCTTCCCCTGGGGGTGTGGAGAGGGAACCTTGGGGATCCATCCAGCTGGAGGGACACCTTCAATAGGAGGCTGGAGAGGCAAATGCAGGGGCATTGGGCAAGGGCCTGAGGCTGACTCCAGAGGACATGGCAAGGACAAAGCTTAGGCACTCACCAGAGGAGGCAGGGTGCTGGAAGATCCCAGGCCACAGCGCCACTCAGGTCCCACCAGTCCTGGTCAGGACACCGCTGTGGGAGAGAGGGGCTGAGAGGCCTGGGTCAGGAGTTAGGACACTGGCCAGACCTTTACCCTAGGGCTTAGCATCTGTGGGTAGCTGATGAGGACATAGTAAGGGTTATCCTGGGGTCTCTCACAAGTGCCCAGGGCAGAGGGTCTGGAGAATCTCAGGAAAGAGACTAAGGTAGGGTCCTTCCTCAGAGAACCCTGGGAGTGCCTCTCGGGCCTGGCAGGACCAGGGACCAGCTGCAGAGAGAGGAGGAGAAATGGCCAGGGGTCACCCCAAAGGCAGCTGTTTCTCCTTGGGTGGTTCCAGAGCCCTGACCTGAGAAGTGTGGCCTCTGAGCTCAGAGTGGGGACTAAGCACCTCCCCACTCTCTGCCCAGGGCCGTGACAATGGCTGTACATGGGCTGACCCATGAGTGGAAGGTGTGATCACCTCATTGCACAGGTGGGGCTCTTCAGTCACAGTAGGTGTGCATATCCAGGGGAACCAGGGCACCCTACAGACCACCCCTACAGGACACCCCTTCAGAGAACCCCTACAGGACACCCCTACAGGACACCTCTGCAGGCCATCCTTAGAGGGCACCCCTGCAGGGCACTCCTACAGGACACCCCTACAAGACACCCCTACAGAGAACCCCTACAGGACACCTCTGCAGGCCATTCTTACAGGGCACCCCTGCAGGGCACCCCTACAGGACACCCCTACAGAGAACCCCTACAGGACACCTCTACAGGACACCCCTATAGGACATCCCTACAGGACACCTCTACAGGACACCCTTA